CTAAAAAAAGTTGAAACTCCATCCAGATGTTGAGTTGTTTTTTTGTTTGTCTTTTACTATTGTAATTTCCTGTTTTATTTTGTTACTTACCCTTGTCTATGTCTTTCTGATCGTGCTCATCATGTTTCCCCCATGTGTGTCCACCCTTTCCTGAGTGTTACATGTAATACTCATTCTAGCACTTTTTCCCAGTGAGGTATTGTGTATGACTTCTTGACCCTTCCTTTTGCCGGCTCCTTTTGATTTGTTAGATTGGGATTTTTGGTCTACCCGTGTATCGAACCGGAGTGAATAAACCTGCTTTTTGTCTCTGTGAAGTCTTCCTGTTGAATCCTTTTGAGTGCGTCATTGTGTCAAAAGTGAGATGGCCTTTAAAATATCACAGTACATTCATACATCAGTAAACATATCAGTTAACATCATTATACAATTTTATAAATAGTAACCTATATGTAATAAGATAATGAATTGTAAACAGGATAAATAAGCTGAGTTAGCAAGCTAGCTGGTAGCTTCATACCATCACTATACAGACAGTAATACAGACATAACTTTAGAATAGAGTAAATAAGCAGAACCATCCAGCAGCTTGTTAGCTTAGCGTGTAGCTAAGCTTAAAGACTGGAAGCAGGGAGATACACTTAGCCCAGCTCTGTTCAAAGGTAACAGAATTTCCTAATAGTACCTCTAAAACTCATCACTTCACACACGTTGGTTTAATTTATAAAAACAGTGAATTTTTACACTAACCATAGTAATAGCTTTGTACAAAAAAAGATTTTAAAGAAGCTACCTAGCTTTGTGCTGTTCCTTCTGAGTAATAGTAAAGATAAAACAGTAGTATAGATCTTTGTGAAGGCAAATAAGGACAATGTCAAACTTCATTTAATAAAACAGAACTTCTGAAAGACCAGGTTGCTAGGTTTTATATTAAGTAAATCACGGTGTTCAAACCACTTCAAAGCCCCTCAGTATCTCCCATTTTGTTCCAAACAGAAACTGGACAAACTACCATGCTTGACAAGACAATAGCGTCTAATTTTTGTGCTTGGGTGAGTTTGTCGAGTTTCGACTACACTGTGATTGCAGCATTGCACAAAGTGAAAGAGCTCATATCCCCAAGGCTATAGCATAGCTCAGCGGGCCCAGACTCACACTAGGGTTCCTGAAATTTTTGGAGGTGCTACACAATCCTTTGAAAGCAGTCTGTTGCCATTTCTTGCAAGGCAAATACAACAAAAAAAAGTCTGGGCATGTTTGATGAATACATCTGGTATTTTTGTACGCAAAGTTTTGGTTTATCTGTTTGGGTGCCCTCTGAAAGGTGCAGGGGAAAAAATAAATCAGGCTTGAGAAACTAGGCCATACACTGAGATGGATTTCAAAGATGTTTTGTAGGAGCAATGTGAAAAGATACAAAATTAGGAATGCAAGAAGAAAGGGAGGACAAAGGATTTTGGGGTAGAAATACAAGGAGGAAAAGGAAGATGCATACCACACCATGAGGATAAAAACAAGGACAAGGACTGAATTTGGCAGAAAGCCTGCAAACGGCGAGCTTTTCCACAGTGTTGGCTGCTTTGAAAGCAAGCGAGATGTTGCCGAGAGCTGGACAGACATCCTTTGGCTTGGCTTCGTGGCATTTGTTGTGTTGAGTCTGACAAACACAAACACAAACTAAGCTGTGAAGTCAATAAACCAATCTGCTGAAATACCCATCACTCTCTCTGTGTCTCTCTATATTGTACCCAGTAAATTGTAGGAGCAGATTCAGTGTCAGACTGAGCAAATATGTCATATTCCATCTCACTGGGCACCAACGTACCCTGGAGTCACCCACATGTAAATAAGGAACACGGGACATGTCATTCTGTTTGTGGGGAACATTCAGAGCCTGTTCTCTCTCATCTCCTACAGCAGTGATATGTAGACCCTATTACAACATGTAAATGACCCCCTGCTGTGCAATCTAACAGTATGATGTGACATACAAGTGGAGCAGAAGTCATATTTAATATAAGACCGGGTGTGCTGGTGTGTGATGCCTCTCGACCTATTACCTCCACTCGCTGTGGCTGTGTGCGTGTGTGTGTGAGTGTGTGTTTGAACATGTTTGCATAATGCATCCATACAATTCATGGATGTTAGATTTAAGCTGTCATACTTGGACAGATGTGGCCTTGTCTTTGAAAATGACAAGTGAAAAACAGGGAACTTCGTCTTTAGATCTAAGCATACATTCACTAGAAAAGTCATAGAAGCTCAGCAAAAGCTCCGAACTCAAGATAAAATAGGTACCACTTGTCAGTAAGGCATGTCCATAAGGTTGTTTTTTTATGAGAAATTAGTACAATTGAAAAATCTGTATTTTTTTAAAGCTGCTCTCATCAAATTGTTTGTATTACCCATGTTACAGGAAAGCTACTTTAATGTGATGAACCTATAAATATTATCTTCTTTTTTTACCCTAACTATGTCATTAGCCCCTAAAGGTCCTGACACACCAAGGAGATCATCGGCCGTCATTGATGAGCGATCATCCCGCTTGGTTTTTGCGTTGTTTCCGGCTCTGTTGCGACCCATCAGGTTTCATGTAACTCCAGCTCTTCCACCCATTTAGTACGGTTTCTCCTTGCCGCCTCCGCCTCTTCTTTTCTTCAAGGGCTGACAACGCCAGTGCCATTTTCATCTTTTAATCAGACATGATTCTTGATTACACCTCTGTGCAGAACGTACGTGGTGGTTGCCCGCCGACTGTAGTCTTTGCGGTGTGTTCAAGTGTGACTTTTTGGCCAAGACAAAAGGCGACATGAGGTGTCCCCACAGTTGGTCTTCGTTGCCACTAGTTCTTTGCCTTGGGCTTTTATTCCCAAGTCGCGTTTGATCACAAGAGTCTCTCTGAGATCTTGTGTCTGTAAAATCTTTCTGCAAAAAGCAGGTGTGTGGTCTCTGGGTCTGGCCGGGTGCTCTAGCGTGTGCGTTTGGATTATAATCTTACAAATGGGTTGAAAATGTCCTTATGTCTGTGGTCTCCCACGGTTTTTTTTAAAATCAGGTAAGATTTGACAATTGTCTAGTGTGTAGCCAGCTTTAGTAACATTTCTTTTAAGTTGTAAAAAGCCATTTGTAACTCCAAAGGGCGCCTCTAACTCATTGGCCCAATTTATATTCCTCAATTTCATCGTCAATGCTAAATCAGGCACTCCTGTCAAGAATGTCCTTGACTGAACTGTGGAATTGCATTGTGGGAAATGTAGGCACTGGGTTTGCCAAAGAAGGAAATCATCCTCAAAGCCTGAAAGTGCTTACATAGTGAACTCTTCAAGTGTCCCTAAGTAATTCTTCTTTTTGATGCTTTTTGACGAACGAGTGTGATCTAACACAGACCACATATTATAGCTTACCTTCTGTAAAAAGGTAAGCTAACCTCAGTATAATAAAATGGCTGGAAGGACGGTTTGTATGCCTTTGTGTGTTAATTGACAAAAGTTTGAGAGAGGACATCCAGTATGTAACTTTATCAGGTTCCTCCTAAAAATGCTATCCAGTTTTTCTGCTTATTTTAAAATCCATTTATTCATCCTAATGGGAAAAAGTTTTGTGTCCTTTTACATGTAGCTCAATTTTAGGATTTCTTTATATTCGTGGTTGTTTACCATGTTTGATCAAAGAGCCCACTCATAATTAGCCCACTATTCCATTCACTAGTACACTGAACCCTTACCAAATAGAGAAAACACCTTGAGTATGTTTGTTTCTCTCGAAACCTCTCAGTTTCTCTTTTTTTCATTTGATGGTACCATTTCGAGGTCCTACTCTGTTTTCAGCAAAGCTATATCAACAAGATATAGCTCTGAAGCACCTAAGTGCCCTAATTGCTATATTGGCAATGACAGCCTTGTTTTTTTTTTCTTTCTTTCATCACTAACACACTCTCATCAGCCATTTTTCTGTGCTCCCTCTATGCTCTTATCTCACCCTCTTCAACATTTTATCCAGTGACAAAGGAGAAAAATGGCCAACCGTACCTTGAGCTTAACAAAAACAAAGCTAAACAAACAAAACACACAGAGACACAGGGACATTTAATTATTCTCCTATGTGCTTTTTCCCCCCCACCCCACCCCCCTGCTCTAAATGCCGGAGGTCACATATTTATTTAGAGCAGTTTCTCTTCCAGACTGGATAATACAAAAGAAGAAATACCAGAGTTATTTATTATGATATAAAACGTGCAGTTTCAGGAAAATGAAACCTTGGAGGATGGCTCATATTGAATTTTTCAACATGGTGCTCAATCCAAGCTATTGTCTCCCTCTCCCTGAGGACCTGGCCTGTTACAAGTTGCCTTTAAGCACACAGGTCAATAAAGGTAATTGATAAGCTCTCATATGGATATATAGTGATGAATGAAGGATCTTTCATGTGCAATGAATCAAATGTCTTCTGGAGCCATAAATGAACGCTCGTATCCCCTCGCCTAATGGGAATAAGCATAAACTTTTTCCACAAAGTCAATGCGGTATACGGGGTTATCTATACATCTGTGTTATTAGTCCATCACTTACACTTTATGAGCACCTCAGTGTTGGTGGCCTAGTCATAGATTATTGGCAAGACCATTGATCCGCCTCAAGGAGGTAATGGAAACATAGCATCAATCTTCAAGTTAGATTTTTATAGGATAAACTAACAAAGATGCATTTTGTCGATAGAAGAAAAATCAAATGGGCTTGTATTTGCCTACTCAAAGCCCATATAGCAAATTATCTACATCTGGAAACAAAAGGTCAACAATTGCTTTTTTTACTTATACTTATAATAAACCCTTCATCCATCCATCTTCTTCTGCTTATTCAAAGTCGTTTTTTTTTCTCCTTAAAATGTGTCTGTTATTTTAAAGTTAAGTTAGTAACTATATATTCCTTCCCTGGATTGGAACATCCCAAAAATGCTTCCCCCTGGTGGTTAAAAAAGAAAGTACACACTTACAGCACTTCTTCCAAAAATAATGAGATGAACTTTATTTTAAGAAACCACACAACAATCTCACAACGTATCAACAAGTACACATGTAACAAAAGATGTCCCCTCACATTACAACCACACCAACATGAACACCGATACGATTTGAAGTGTTCAAAATACATTCAACAATGGAAAAACACAACACTTGGAAAAAAAAAAAGAAGAAAAACTTTGGCATTAGCAGAACTTATAGCTTATTCACATGTTCAAGACTGACAGAAGACAGAATAATGAACTATTCTCAAATGTGAGCAATCATTTTTTGATTTTAATTCAGGTTAAGAGAACCTGTGTCACAGATATATCACATAATGGGACAAACACTGTTCAATCTGACTCTGATAGTGGTTATATAGGCCCAGCCCCTGCAACTGCAGAACATTATATGTATATAAAATATTGAAGAAATTGTTTGCACGATCAAATGACACTTAAAAGTTCCTGACTTCTCGTCCATCATGTTGGTCCTGGAGTGGTTTCTGATGGTTGAAAAAGTGGTCCAGTGCGTCCATCTCCTCATTAGGGCCCGTCTGAAAGCCTTTGTCCAGTTCTGATGTGAGTCTCGTCTCTTTTTTTAATAAGAGCATTTTTCATTAATTCTCCAATATGGAAAGACAAAAGCTACTCTTCCAAACATCAAAGATCTGACAGCAGTGAGTAATTACAAGGAAGAGAATAAAAGATACTTAATGCTGTGAAAGTCTGCACATGGAGAAAAGAATCCATACGTGCATGTGTGGTACTTAATTTCCACTGCGAAAAAATCTGTACTTTGCTACAGCGCCGATCGGCTTTTATAGCATTTAAAGTCAATTTCAGGCATTTACATCACGCTCTAATCCAGAGCAACTTAAAAAGAGCAGAGCGGTTATTAGTCTCACTCTGAGACAACCCTGACTGTCTTATTGAGCTTTCAACATCTGCTCACTTAAATAATAAGTCTCTTCTTTTTGGCTTCTTTTCCAGTCATTAGCGTTTCCTTTGTGTCACCGTCCACGTGGGGCTTTTCTGTTGACGTTGGCCAGGCTGTGTGCCAGTCTCTTAGTGAAGAGCGGGTGGGCTTTACCACAATAAGTGTGTGTCGTCTTTAAGAGTTCTTCCTCCAGGGGCTCCAGCAGAGACGTCACTGGATCTGAACCGAAAGGGTACTGGAACGAGAAATTGTCACATTGAGTTGACACAACAAATACTGATAAGAAGGGGTGTGCTTTAAGAGACAGAGTGTCCCATTGAAGTGCTAAAACAAGGATTTGCACTGGATATAAAAGCAGATTCCTATGTTATGAAGGAAGCTTCTTTTCAGATGACTTGTACTCTCCTTCCTCTTTCTCTCTCTGGAACATGGGGGTGGGTTGGCTAAAGGTTGGATGAGTGGGCTTGGAAGACTTCAAACGAGCAGCTGAAATCCCAAACTACAGTCTAAAGTCCCCTGAGGACAGCTCACACCCCCCTACTGTGCCACTGTGATTGATCAGATTCCTCCTGTAACGTGAGCAAAGTGCTGCTGTGGGTGTTCATATCTGTCCCAGGATAAATTAAAAATCCAAATCCGGGAGGCATGCTGGACTCAGATGGGACTCCAAATCTAATCTGATCGGTCAGCTGGGCAGAAAAACATAAAGCAGTTGTTGGGAGTGCGTTTTTATGCTATAGGCTTCGTGTCCAGTGATAACAGGGGATCAGAGCAGAAATTTCATGTCTTCCCGATAATGAAGGAGCCTTTACAATGCTCTGAGGAAATCAAAGGGGAATTACCATTTTTTATGCCAGCTCATTTGCTTGCGGTTGGGTCCCTGATATTGGGTCACAAAGAGAATGGCGTTTTTATGAGCACATACTCACACACACACACACACACGCGTTGGTCATAAAGTTGCATTTACAGTTGCTGTATTGATTTTGTGCGGCTGATGGGGCACCCTTGGCGTACAGACTCCAACTCTAAACGTACCATCGGCTGTAAAATTTTACTGCTGCTTCTTGGGCTCAGCTTTTTTGCAGCGCAGGGGAGGGAGGAGATGCTTTATGACAGACAGACGGCTGTGGTCTGTCTGAGAAGGAAAGACAAGCAGACAGACAGGGAGGAGCAGTGCTGTCTGTGCTGCCCTTCCTTTGTGTGAGGATACAGGGACATGCACACTTATTTCCTTAAATGTGTTGAAGTTGAAAGTCATCAGTTGAGAATCATTTATTCCCTGCCTCTCTAATGTGGAATGCTGCTTTATTAATTTGATATAACTTTACTCTGAACGTGTTTAAATTCTGTACTCTGTGAGTTTCCCGCCTCAGCCTCTCACCTGACCTGCCACCTGATTACACACCTGATCCCCATTAGTAATGAGGAAATCAGGCCCAGCATATCTGAGCTTTCCAAACTGCATTCCCAGTTTGGCCAGATTGTCTCTGTTGCGTGAGCTTTCTGGCAAAGTTTTCTCTTGTTAACCCTTTTTTGAAAATGACCATTGTAAGACAGTTAGTCCTATCTGTCTCTCTGGCTTCTTTCTGCAAACATTTGCATATTACATTGAAAAGAGTTGAACTGTATTTCAATTAGACATTTTGTGACTGTCACAGTCGTCTTCCTTTAGGTGGTTTTCTGAATGCTCACTCTCACCGACCTGTCAGTGTGGGACTGTTAGTCTTTCACTGCACAGACACTCTGAGGTTCTGTCGTAGTAAAACAAGACAAATAGAAAAGAGGAGGTCTGCCCAGTGAGACGAAAACACACACAGAGGATCAATCCACACTGCTCCATCCTCCTGGCCAAGCAGACTTAATCACATATCATTGGAAGGGTCAATATCTAACACAGGCTATTGGGAAAAGTGTGTGTTTTAGTGCATGCTCTGGGCCCTCGTGTGCGGTTTACTGCACGCTTGCAGCAGCATGCACAGCACCTGAGCGCGTGTGTGTGTTCTACTATCATTGATCCTGTCCTATAAAAGCGGGAGTTTTAACTGCGGGCCATGGGTAAGGTATGGATCAGCCATCGCTCTGATCTATGCTCAATGCTTTGTTAATAAGAAAGCAATGAGACTCCAAACAGTGATGGCTTCATTAAGTAAATGCCACTCATGCCGTCAATATCAGTGCACTCTGGTAAACAACCCATAAACATCCTCAAGGGGCAAATTAGCCTCAATCCAGCCTTCTCAATATGGTGGGGATTTGTGTTTCCGATGCAGGCAATCTGAAGACACACACACACACACACACACACACACACACACACACACACACACACACACACACACACACACACACACACACTTAGGGTGTTTAGGGTCAGCACCAATCCAAAGTCTAATCCAGGAGGATAAAGTGAAGGGGTGGTGGAGGAGAGCAGGTGTGTCGCTGGAGTTATAAAAAGGGCTCTTTTCATCAGATGTCGCACTAAATTACAACAACAACACTTTAAAAGGCTCAGCAGGCTCTTTCTCTTCACTTGAATGTCCCCAAGAGACTTTTAATGAGGTGCACTTTCTTGTTTACTTTCACTGTTGTGGTAGACTCTTTGTTTCCCAAAAGGCCTTTGGAGGATTTACCTAACTTTCTGCATTTGAAAAAGTACAAAGACAGAAACAGTGGAATACAGTAACATGTGTGCTGTTCTTTTAATAAACAGTGAGCAGCATCCCCTACTGAGGATGCACTTTTAGACTATTGAGACTTTGATGAAGTTAGAGACACACTTTTTGATTTTGTTCTGTCATCAATTGAAATTATTTTGAATAAATTATGATAGATCTCAAATCACAGGCAGAGATGCAAAGAAACCTTGCAGTTCTCATATCTTCGAGTCGTTCATGCAAAATTACACTTTTTAATGAAGATGACTAAAACGAACATAAAAGCTGCTTTGAGGTTTACTGTGGTGCAGTTAACTTTATGTTCCGAGGGGTTACGTCAGATGCAAATAAATCTTTACGACGGATGCATCAGCAGTGGGAGTTTAATGTTGCACCGCCTATTTTTAATGTATTTTGTCCCACGCGGGGAGAATTGTTTTTTTATTCTTACAGTTAGTGTATCTGATCGATGCATTATTCCCACCTTTTAACGACAAGCTTTAGAAAAGGTTTGTGATGTCTTCACTTCAACTCACTTTCTGCCCGCCCAGCAGACGGCTGCTCCACATGAGTCTGGTTCTGCTCGAGGTTTCTGCCTGTTTAAAATGCAGTTTTTTTTCCTTGCTGCTGTTTGCACGATGTTACAACGTGATTAGCTCATGGCGTTAGGTCTCTGAAATACTATAACGAAGAGAACAGAGAACTTTCTAGTCTTAACTTGGCTTTAAAAACTCCAAGCTAAACTCCTGCTCTTTTTTACCAAGTGTCTATGAGATAACATGTGTTATGATTTGGTGCTATGCAAATCAGAAGGACTGATTGAAAATCATAACGTAGCTTAAACACGGACGAGAGCATTCAAGCATCCCACGCACACTTACAAAGACACAGAAAGGCACGCTCACCTTTTGTATGGCCTCGTAAACGGCCCTGAAGGCGGGCTGTTTTTGGTCGTGGTACACCCCTCTGTTTCCATGCAGAATGTTAATGCCGTCTTCCTCAGCTGATGCACAGTTACTGCCGTAGATACAATGATCTGGACGATAATTCCACTGACAGGGAACTCCAGAAGGCACTCTGAAAGGAAATGATGACGCTCAAAAATGGCTAAACCCTCTTTTATGGAGGTTATTTTGTATAAATGTAAATGCCACATTTGCTGCCACAGTGTGCAGCCTTACCAGAGTTGTGGTGGAAAATGATGTTAAGAAGGTCCTGGTCTCCCCAGGTTATATTGAGTTTGTATTTCTGAAGTAGAGGCATCAGCAGCTCCTCCCAACGCAGCCCCACAGCTGTCATATCGTTCTGTGAAGTACATAAAACGGTCAAAAAGATCCTTTTCTATGTCAGGATATGATCAACGGGTAAGGGTTAAAGAGTGTGGAAATGTAACAGGATCCAATTTAATCCTCTCACAGACATGAGATCAACTGCAGCACATCGAGGACATCTAGTGGCCAATTAAAATAGTACAGTCTCTTCAACTACCTTAAAGAACATGCTCCTCATCCTCGTCATGTTCATGAGCATGACGCCCGAGTTGATGCCCGTCCTGCCGTAGTAGGGGTGGCGGGCGAAGCGGTTGTACCAGGCGATACGGGGCTCCTCGTGCTCCGGGGCCATGGCCGCCAGCTGGGAGGAGTTAAACCTGGACAGGAAGGCCCAGAGGCGGTCTACGGGCTGCAGGAAGAGGATGTCAGAGTCCACATACACTACAGAGTCGACGTCCTTTAGGAGCAGCTGAAGAAGAGTTTGAAAAAGACACAAAGAGACAGGTGTTACCGAGGAGGTGAATTATTCAGATGTTCTCCAGTGATTTTAATGATTCATAGAGTCAGTTTGTTCTGCAAAGGTCTTACACAATGGATGTTTTTCAGTATTTAACACTTACTCTATTTTTTATAAAGGTGATTTGGAAACACAAAACTTTGCATAAGTGCTCCTGAATATATACCTGCAAAGCACAGGTTCTTTTTTTTTAATTCTGCAGACAAGGATTTCCTGTCTCGTGTTGTGATTTTTATACAAGAAATATACATTAAAAACAAATCTACTCTCTTCCTTCTATACTTACTGGTAAGAAGAGCCTCTGAGAAGCACAGGGTTTGAAGAGTTTCTTCCACTCCACAGCATTCTCACTGGGAAAGCTGATGGAGTAGACCGTGTAGTTAAACCTGGAGCGGATCAAATCGGGCCACGACTCCAGCTGGAACACATCCAATCAGAAAATTAAAATTTCTTGTGGAGATATCTTGTAAGAGGAGATGATCAACACACGTCAGGCAGGCAGTTATTTCTAGGCTGTCATTTACTGCTCACCGCTTCCATAAAACGGGCGTGCAGCTGATCCTCTGCGAAGATGTGCACGGAGAGCTGCTTGACGCTGAAAAGCACAGCAGACTTGATCATGGTGAGCGTCTCCTCCAGCCGCTCGCCACAGGCCACAACGGCCAGGTGCATGGGAGGGTCCGGTCTGCTCTGGACGCTGCCAACGACACCTGTCTCCACCTGGCCCTTCTGCCGCATTATGTACCTGAGTGAGAGGATGGATGGTCTTACCAAGTGCAGTTATCAAGTCTTTTCTGTAGGGAGTTTGAAAAAGATCTGATCCAACGATGATGTGTATAAAAACCATATAGTCTTTAAACATTAATGGCCCGAAGTCTGAGTGACGTCAGCCATATGTTACTGGAGGGGACTCAGTCACCCTGACGACATGCTGAGAGCTTGAGCTGAGGCAGGTTTTAAGCCTCTTGACGAACCGTTACATCACAGCCACTTGTCACTCATGTCAGCTACGCACCTAACTGTGGATAACACACTATTGATGAACACATATCGTTCTGCAAATCATAACAGAGCCGTTTAAAAAAAAAAAATGAACAGTACAGTGTGTGCCCATGATGACAATAACTAATCAGATCTATTTCGTTTTTTTTTTTGTACCAGGTTGTAAACATGTCAATTTATGCTGTAAAAACTGCTTTTTTTTTTTTGCCAGTCATGTGTATGTGACTTTCAGAGTACCTGGAGCCAGCTTAAAGTGGACACTCGACGAACTGCAGGATTTTGCACTTCCGCATTTGCTTCATTTTTCAAGACAGGAGGTTAACACTTGATTAAAAACTAGCTTTAACTACGGCATACTATTACATTATCTTTACAAGATCCCTACTTTAGCTTAACTAAAGTATATTGCAACTTGAGAAACATGACTTCCATGTCTGTTTTTTTCAGCCTTCTAGAAATAAGGTTACATATTTACTTAAGATAAAATACATGACTAAATGTATCTGCTGTAGTAGAAACACGAACTTAAGAACATTTGGCAAAAAAACAAAAATCTCTCTGGTGCCATTTTCTTGAACGTCATGGTTAAGTTAATATATATATATGTAGTCATTGTAATTTTTCTCACCTCTGTGTTAATTCAAACAATATATAACAAACCTGTTGTTACACCAATGGATTGAATCTTTATTATTGAGGACTTACTTCCTATCCTTCTCACCAAACCTCTAAAATCTGGTGGAGAATTTCACGCTCAGATGTTAAGAAAACAAACAAAAGTAGATTTGCGTCATGCATTTAGTTGCCAACATTTGTGCTATCTTCTTGCATGATGGAATAAGTAGAATATCTTTGGTATCAGATTCTCCACTTAAAAAAAAAAAAACATGCTGTGGGAGATATAATGTTGAATGTTTTTGTTTGTGTTTGCTTATTCGTGACGTAGGCCTACTGCTGTTGATTAATCTTTGAACCAACAATGTGTCTGCACGGTGAAGTCACACACCTGTTTACGTCTTGCGTCAATGTTGCCTTCACGATAGAAACAGGATGCGAGCTGAGGAGCACTTTGAAATGTTACTTCTCTTCGGATGTATAGGAATGTGACGCAGCCTGCTTCACTGGCCAAATGCAGACGGAGTAGCCTATTTGTTCTCACTTACCGAATAAAATGTTACTTTTTTATATTTTTTTATTTTTTATTTTTACAAAAGTTGCACCCTGTCGAAACAGCACAGACTAGAGAAAACACAGTCTTACCTATTGTACCAGTGTGAGCTTCGGGGCCCAGTTTTGTCCGCAGCCCCTCGCCTGCCTCCGGGAACTCTCGGTGGGATGAAAACCTTCTTCGGTCCGTTTCCACCGACTGGCACGTCCGAGTAAAGCAACCTACTGTAAACATACAAACCCGAAAACACGGCAAACACCATGCACAACAAAAGTGCACGAATGTAACGCCGCATTATGGAGTTTGAAAACACAACTTACAGCTAAAGTCATGACACAGAAACTAACGCATAATAACAACTGCAAAGCCAGGCGTAATGGTGAAGTATTTCCGGTAATGGATTGGAAAATAAAAGTGATATGGCTTCCGCGCCCTCTAGCGGCAATACTAGGACTTGTAAATATGTTGCCACATTAATTGTATGGCTATAGGAAAAAACTGCAATGGGAACTTTTAGTTCTCATTCATCTGTTTACTTTAATATGGGTGGTTTTGTATGGCCTTCATAGGCTACACTTTAAAAACTACAAAACTTGCAGTTTTTGTTTTCTATAATGACTATATTTATGCCTTTTTTATATAAGGATGGCTATATCATTTACATGCATAATGTAATTTTTAACATGTATGCTTGAGAAAGGAGGGGAGGGGGATCACAAGACTTTAATCTGATAATATAATATCAGAGGTGTGGTTTAAACCCATGCAGATTTCTGCACTCTATCCCTTGACATTTCTGGTGTTGTAAAATTCTTAAATGCAAGGAGACTCTTTATTATATTAAATTCTCTTGCATATCTTAAACAATTTCAGCATCTTGACGTTTGATAAATGTACAAATGTAAATACTGTAGAAAGATTAAAGTTTTGGGGATGTAGGCCTACCATTTTAATGAAAATATATAAAATAAAATACATGTACTTGTGACTTTATTGTTTTCTATAAAAGCAATGTCATCAAATATCTCTGTAGTATTAGTTTCAATTCATATGTCCTGCACATACCCAATCAGTTGTCCCTTTTTTTTTTTTGTAAAACATGAATGCTTTAATTTTGAAGGCGAAAGCAAGATTCCGGCTCTTTCCTCTTATTCTCTCCGTTTCACTTGATGCACATCACGCATGGGAAGCCGGAGGTCGGGACCCCAAATGGGGGAAGGGTGGGAGCGCTGAGCAAAGTTGATTCCTCTCCTCTCCCTCCCCCCCTCAGGCTCCGTCTGCAGCAACTTTCAATTGATTTCACCTCTGAAAAGAGCCATTCAAGGGCTTTAAGTGACTAGTCTTCCCTATTGAAGTAGCTCCATAGACAACAGAGCTGAAGGCCAACTGCGTGTTCATGAAGTGTGGGAAAATTAGGTAGTTGACTGATGCAATAGTTAATTAATTACTGTCCAAACTTACCTTCTGCTTATAACAACTGAATGCCAATAGATTGTCGTGACCATTTTAAAACTATATTTTTCATTATGAGCCCAATCTGTGATGTAACGCAACCTGTGCACTGTACAAATACAGTAGTTACCAGTTATCTAGATTTTCAACAGGTGAAATGAAAAACCCAACAAAATATGGTCCCGGAATAAAGCTAATAAAAGCTAAAAAAATAACAAAATGTAAGCCAGCATTCAAATTTAGGAAAGAAAAAGAGACTCATGATGTAATAAGTAAAATTGTGTGCATAAGGAAAGACATGTTGTGTTGGACTTTTTGTTATTTTCTTATTTAGACATGGAATAAACAAGTTCACACATGTTTAAACAATTGAGCATGGCAAAGCAAAAATTCAAAAAAATTCAAAAAAATTATATATCCACAAGTGACACCAACATATTTTCAAACGTCCATTTTTTTTGCCACAACTGAATAACAAACATCTGTCTGAACAGTTCTCACCAGTTCACACACCTAGTCCCAGCTAGTGTAGTGAACATAATGAGACATTAAACAATGCTAACAAACTAAGAGACATAGCCTGTCCCACAATATACTGAGACCATAATATCATCATGCCATGACAGTTCTCAGGATCTGTGCTAAAATGTTAACGTAAAAAATCTCAATGATAACACTGGTAAGATGGATAATACAACCACATCAAAACATTGTAGTACAATAGTATTTTTTTTTTTTTTAGAAATATCCATTTGTATCTGTGTTGTATTCTACAGGTTTCATAAGTTATTGTGAAGTTAGGTTGATCTATAAGTTGTTCAGCTGGGAGATTTAGCGTCCTATATAGCTCCTCCCACTTTGCTACATCAAAATGGAGGAACTGAAACAGTTTCTGAAGTCCATCACACTGCAGGCCATCAGCCATACAGCATGTGCATGTCCAGAGGTCAGGGGTCTTTTATTCTGTTGCTCCGACTGGGTCCAAACTGGTTCCATTGTTGGGGCAGAGCAGTGCGAGCACCCTCTGGTTGTCCACGGTGACACCGAGCAGATGCAGCTCTGTGTGTGTGCAGCTTTTAAAGGAGAAAACCGGTGGGGTTTACAGCCACAGCCACATGTTTAAATTCAACACGTTTCAGTCATAATTACCTATTGTTTGAGAAATTAAAGGCGAGCAAAATAAACAAACATTTGTGATTTTGTGAACTTGTAAGAGCTAAATTGAAGAAATAAATGGAGAAATGAGGCAAATGTAAGCTGTTATGGCTAATATATTAGCAAGTTATTGTTTACGTGTATATCTAGTTAACATCCACATGTTAGCTACATTTGGACTAGCCTTCTGAAAAGTTAAGCCCAACACATATATAAGAATTGGTTGGGTTTGTATGTGTAGATAGAAGCCAATTAGCAAGTTAGCAAGCTCTTAGCAGCTGCTAGCTAACACATTTTTGCCGTTTCATGCTAGCCAAGGGCGATGTAGTAACTGGTTTGCTGGATTACGGTGCTTTAAAATAGTCACACTTTAGTCTTGTGTCTTTTTTTTTTTAACTTTGACTTTTTTGGAAAATCTCATGAGGCGAAGGGAAGAATAATTCATGAAGACTTTGTAAAACAAAGCCACGCTCCTAAGAGAGTCCAACTGTACGTTAACTAGGCTACATAACTGATGTTGTGGAATCAGTCTGCAGAGGTTGTGCCTGACATCCATGTTGCTGAGCTGTGTGTAAATGTAAATATTATTGCTATAAGGAACCTGGGGGGGAGACAGTGGTACAGTGTAGCCTAAGCTAAAGGAGATAAGACTGAGAGCAATTTTTCTTAACATTAAATAATTCAACCAGCTCTTGTTATTGTGACACTACTCGGACATTTCCCCACTTAGGAAATTTCCCATGGCAAAAAATATGACCATTTTCATGGATTGATGCGAGGGTCTAAAATCCGAACATTGTGCCAAAATCTGTCTAGCCTAGCTGGAATAATGCTAATTTTCTCTTTAATTATGGTGAATTTGATTCTAAATTTATATGAAATCCATCACTTAATGCAGGTTTATATTTGAGGTGTTTATTTTTTCACCTTTATTTCACCGGGTTACTCCCATTGAGATCAGACATCTCTTTTTCAGAGGAGACCTGGGGCCGTATTCATGAAGCTTCCTTCGTACAAAGACTCGCTCCTAGTGACAAAATTCTAAGAAAATTTGTAGAATCGTGACATTTTCTCGGAATTTCCCATTCAATTAAAGACTAGATCCTTGTGAAGATGAAAGTTATTCACAATGCATCTTAGGCCTTAAGAGAGCTCCGAAGGTGTTAACACTGGTAGGAGTGAGGAGGACTTTAGTTTCTCAAGCTGAGGAGAAAACAGAGACATTTTCTTCAATCACTACATGAAGAATTTTCTTACTGAATCAGACAAAAAAATATTTATGCAGACAAGACCTTTTTCAGTGCAAAGTGAGACATGCATGGTAAGTTCTATTTCATTCTTCCTGACCGAGGCTGTTCTCAACACTTGATAATATCTGTCTTGTGCACGCGCAGGTCGAGTATTTAATATCAACAAAGTGTCATGTGACCTGGTATGACGCGTGGCCTAGCTTAAATAGCCTGCGTCATGAGACGTCACAAGAGACGTCCTTGCACAATCTTCTTGCCAAGATTCCGAATGTTAGAGGACTCTGGTGGTCATCCAGAATTCATAGAACTGTAGTTACCTACGCAACTCTCGTTTCTCAACACCTGGTTACCTCCACACATTACTTCAATCACTAATTAAGGCTCTTTAAATGCTGATGTAACGATCAGTATGTAAAGAGGCTGCATTCAAGTGGGCATGTGATTTCAAACATTTTGTAGGCTATATACTTTAAAACATCAATTCATCACACAGAGATGTTAATTTCAGTGTTTGTACACAATGTCTGACTAGATTCTATAATTGTGCCTAATCAATTTGACTGTCCATTATCACTAAGTGAGCACTTTTTTTTCTGCCTTTTTTGGGGATTTTTTGGATTAACCAATCACAGCTTCTGAAAAAATAAAAGTTTCTGCCCTTCCCTCGCTCAGAGTTGCCCTGAGAATATGTTCCTAAATCACGTATAGACTAAAAATCTGTGCTATGATTTTTTTTAAACTAAGTTATGGAGGTCTCTGAGAGGATTCTCAAATTGTTGGTAAATACTGGCCCTAGCCTTTTGTTTTTATGCAAAAGTAAAGGGCTAATATAATGCAAAGTATTGGCACAAAAACCAACACAAACACACAAAAAATACCAGTATTTTCCTTTAAAATCATTAGCTACACCTTCCGGCACCATTTCAAAGAGGGCTTTAATCAAAACCTGCCTGATGGCTTTGACAGAGCAGTATCAAGCGTTAACTGGACTGAGAAACTTGCTCCAAAAATGATGACGAAAGACTAAATCCTGCATCAAAAAAGTCTTTCAGGAGCGGATAGAGAAGTTAAAGGTTGAAGTAGATATCATGAGCAAAGGGTTGCTGTGAGGTTGAAGATTCAGCTCAGAGTGTGTACAAGATGGTTTCAGGTTTTTTTAATAGGGAGGTAAGGATTCCAGACAGAGGCTGATAATTCCACGAGTTGAGAAAAGGTCACTCTGCTGGGTCACTGCAGAAGATGCGGGGCTGCACTTTAGTTAAACAAAAACCTAAAAAAAAATAAAAATAAAAGTAGGTGCATCTTAAGGGAGCTGCACAGCACCATGACGCTTGCCTGAATGTTTCTTTAAAATAAGACTGTCCTGGATTTTTTTTCTGGCAACAGGCCTCAGACAGCGTGTGGGATCCGTTCGAGTGCACCAAACGTCCAAATAAAAATGTAGATCGCTAAAAAACTGAAGAAAAAACAAATGGAACAAAAGGTGAGTCATATTGCTTTCTAAATGCAGACTTCCAGTACTGTGGAGAACTGGTTGAATAGTTGAAACTGATGTGTGTTTAATAAAAAAATTCCAAAAAGAGCAAAAACAAGTTTAAAGTCAGTTTTGTACAGCTCTACATTAGAGGCTCCACCTGTGACCTGTGACCTTGCAGATGAGTTGTGGGTGGGGGCTTTATGGGGAAAGGATCTTGAGAAAGATGGGTGGGCTCAGTGGGACTCCCCGTTGACCGAGCTGGCCTCTCCTCTGGGTGAGGAGGAGCGGGAGAGCCCCTTCTCTGTCGTTTCTGAGCTGGAGCCGTTCTGGCTGTGGTGGTCGGCGGCGGACGCGGCGCTGGACGTCGACGACGTGGTCGAGGTGGACGAGGGCTTGGCCTTCTCCTTAAAGTCCGTTATGATGACTGTCAGGTCCCCAACCGTCACCTCGAGGTGCTGGGCGCTGCTGCGGTCGATGTTTTTTAATCTTGGTCTGTGGAGAGAGAGAGCGATAAGGGTTGGAAAAAGTATGAAAATGTTCAGCATGAGGTGTAGCATGAAGTTAGCTCTTTCTTTGATCGATATCTTGCTTTCTATTTTAATGTTGAGGATCATCTATTTTGTGATCTCTTATGTCTTATTATGTGTTGTATGGATCGCAGGAAGTAGTCAGAAACAACAGGAATACTACATAAACACATAAAAAGCATCTTCCGGCTTGTAAACATTTTCCTTTTTCTCTTCAGAAGTCCTTTATGAAATATGACAATCATCAACCAAAAGACAGGAGGCGACATAAACACAATCTGTGGCGCCTTCTCTTTATTCCTGCCACCCTCTTAAAAACCCCTCCACCTCGTGTCCGCTTCTTTACCTCATCTTCTTGTGACTGTTCTTCTTAAGCGCCGGCTCCTTGTCACTCTTCTCCCTCTCCACTCGCTCCTTCTTTTCCTTTTTGGGCTGCGAGGGCAACACGAACTGCTGCGTTACCTGCTGCTGCGAGACGAGCTGGGAGACGGGTCGAGGCTTCCTGATCCGGGGGAAGAGGGGTGGGAGAGAGAGAGAGAGAGAGAGAGGGAGGGAGGGAGGGAGTGAGGGAGAGGAAAAAAAGGGAGAGACAAGAGGATGGCAGATTAATGAAAGGGAAAATCACAATGAACGCATGGCTTCAAGCTATAGTGTACTGCTGTAATCAAGGGCCAATAGAACTGCCAGAGCTGGTTAGAGTGGTGCGGCTGAAGTGTTCTTAACGCTGGCAGCGAGGGCTTTCACAATAAAACCCAGGGTTCAGGCATCTGAAAGAGATATGGAGTGTACCTGCACAGGCTTGTTTGAGTGCTCAGAGGGATAAACACTGACATGACGGGATCTGTGTGCAAAATACCTTGAATTAAAAATACCTAAGAGTTATGCATGTATGGACAGTTTCTGTTTGCTTTTGTGCTTTTTTTGTAACTTGATACAAACTTACAAGATATTCCACACAACAAAAGCTTTTACACATGAAATGCTTTCAGGCCCTTCAGTTTGTTTCTGGGTTAATATGACTACGACATGTCATGAGGATAAGTCACACTTTGCAGAAAGTGTTGTGAAATGTTCACGAGTGCACTGTGATCAATCACAGTGCACTCCTGTGTTCTTAAGTTGTACGTTGCTTGAGCGTGTTGTTCCTTTAAAGTGTAGACAAAACACACTTTTGATGCCGATAGAACAGCATGAGACTGCAGTACAAGTCAAAGGAAAGTTTAGACGTCGGCACTGCCAAATAAAAAAAAAAAACGAAGAGCGTTGATACTGGACTTCAAATGAAAGAAAAATCTTGCGTCGCTCTGAAATGGATGGACGTTGGGCTGAGTCACGCCTTCAGTATGAATGTCAGGGCAACAGACGGAGTCAAAATGGACATGACAAGGGCGAGACAGGATCCTGGTGGGGCTATAGCGGGGGAGAACAGCACTGTGTGTGTGGATGTTTTAGTGTGTGTGTGTTTCCTCGCATTGCAGAAGCACGACATATCAAAAGTTTATGCCATTGCAGCAGAATCAATATGATTGTACAAAGGTGTAATGATGGCAGAGCTTCATTACAGATCTGGTCCTGAATTGTGATCTGCAGCATCTTTGACATGATACCTATTAGGCTTTTAATTCATAAATAGCAGTTCTGTAATTGGCTACAAATGATTACTATTCCCAAATAGTGTTTTTCAGGTATTTTATCATCGATTGTTAACAAAACACACTGTGTTTTCCTGTTTACACATTCATACACAGGCACACAAAAAAGAAAAGACATGATGAAAGGCAAAAGTCCAATATGAAACATAAATGAGCGGACCATTTCCATGTAAAATGTTCCTCCTCAGTCACATTTCGATCCAACACGAGTTTCAGATGTCCCAAAAATGATACATTATGTAACCGATCTGGCAACAGTTTGTATGCGAGAAGGCTGCAATCTTATTTCTGTACAGGAGTGTGTGAGTGAGTGTGTGTGTGTGTGTGTGTTTGTGTGTCTGAGTGTGTTTTGGGGGGCTGGCAGGAGCCCGAGCCGAGAGGCAAGTGTGTTGAAAAGGCCATCTGTTGAGGGAGCCTACACATCTAGTGCCTGATTTTGCATGCACACAGAAAACACACTCACACAGTTATACTATGTATGAATGCACCAATGCTCATGACTGCATGCAGACACCGCAGCAACACTCCTGGGTGCTGTTACAGATTTTTTTTTTTTTTTTAAAAGGGTGCACATGATGATGTATGATGATTACGTTTCTTTATAAAGAAACGTAATCGACAATACAGGGGCAGGTTTTTGGCACGTTAACTGCACACACATACACACACAGCAGTGAGCAGATGAAGCATGAGGGCATGATGAGAAGAGCACACTGTGTTTACTGAGCCCTGTTGAGTGGCCATAAAAATGCACTGCAACACATTTGATTCTCCATTCTGCAAATTCTAATGTTTGACCTGCTTTTATGGCTTTTTAAAAAAACAAAACAGATAAGGACCAGCACAAAAACCTTCACCTTCACTTTAAATCCATCAAATTGCAGCTAATAAAAATAGGAGCTTTAGAAATGCAGCTTCGTTTGGAGCACATATACTAGAACTCTGTACAACAGTTCCTTTTTTTTTTTTTTAAGTGTGCTAACCTGTGTGTGAACCTTGGAAAAGTGTTGCAATTACTAAACACTGGCCTGCAGGTGCTGCATGATAAATGTCCTTCTGCACTTGCCTAATGCAACTCTAAGGGTGTAACAAAGCACCGAGTGTATAAATGTGCTTGCCTTGATAAAAATCCATCCACAAAATGAGTCCAAGCACCTGGTGTTGCTGTGTTTTTTTATTCTGCCAAATAAGAGCCTCAGTGGCCTATTTAGCTCCATTTCGAGGCTTCTCCTTTCTTTTTCTTTTTTTTTTCCAAGGGGAAATTATGTGAGCTGCTGGTCCGCTGTGTTGTTTCGAAGGGCAACGCTGTTGTTTAACAAGTCTGGTGATGACCTAAATTGGGGCCCAGCTTCAAAGAGTCAGGTTTTTTTCTTTTCCCAGAGTTATCACTGCCTTCACAGAACAGGCAGTATGCTAGGAAAAGGGCTAGAGCGAAATGCAAATGGGTCTCTTGGCCTACATAACTGTCTGATCGGGAGGAGATGTAGAGATTCTCTAATATGTCTGTCTTGTCAGCACGACTCTGCAGAACTGCTGACACCTTTTTAAAAGAAATAAAAGCAGAGGCCTTTTTAAACATTCCTCTGTTCCCAGCTTGAGTCACTTAATTCACTCATTGACATGCTTCACCCCTGATATTGTGAAAAGAATCAGATTTTCTAGCAAACAAAAAAAGGGACTGTCACAACCGAGCTCTGCCTTAAGGCCAAATATTCCAGCTTCCAAAAATAAAAAAATAAAGACAAGCAGCTGCCTTATTCATAACCTCTTTTAGTTCCTTCTTTATCTGACGCGCTTTAGGTTCAGGGTGTCATAATGAGCTCATGTGCTTCCTGTGAGCTGAACTGTTTTGTAATGAAGAAGATGACTGTCTCATTATGTATGATTCACTTGATGTGCGATCAAGAGAAAATGTCACCTCGGGCTGATTGTGATCTTTTTTTCTATTTAAAAAAAATAAATAAAACCCCACAGGCTGTGTGTGTGTGTGTGAGAGAGCAACTGGAGCCCAAACATAAACATATTTGGTAAACCCTTTCTTCTTCATGTGTTACAATTGAGTAGATTTTCACTAATAGAGCCGCTTCAATAACCTCGAGGTGAAAGAGGAGACGGGCAACGTAATAGATAATGGTGAGGAGAAGCAGCAGGCCCTAAACAGAGCTGCCTCTGTTAACCCAATCAGATGGTTATTATCTCAGCACTTAGGCCTTTGCTGCTGGCTCAGTCTGTGTGTGTGTGTGTTTATTGATTCCAACAACAATTTCTGAGCCCTAATGTAACAGCCTTTTCTTTCTGACATTGATACTACATGCTGAAGCTGTTGTTCAGAACAATATTTGCTCCACACGTGCCATCCATTATCCAGCAGCTAATGGAGTCTCACACTGGGATCTTAGGATGCTATGAGCAAGGTGGAAACGCGGGGAATTCTGAAAGCAATAGATATCAATCACTATGTCTTTATTTTGGGGCTTTTTAATACACTCCTGTAGTCAAGCAAGCAGGGAGTGTATTCATCATTTCCCTCCGTTTAACCCATTTTTCTGCCTTCTTTCACCGTGTTTCAGACAGAACAATAACTTTTACTTTAAACATCAGCAGGTTAAGATGGTTATTCCTCTTCAGCTTCACCACGCTAAACTTCAACTTGTCTTTTCCTGCACACTGCAGAGGTTAGAGAGTGCAAATGCTGCCACTGATCCCTCTCACACTTCATTGACAGGGGAACTCTGGCTGACCCCTTTTTTGCAAATACATCACACGCACACTTATACCCCTCCTCCTTTCTTTCTGTGCTGCACCCACTGACCTTGCACCCTCCCACCTCTACCCTGTGCTCAAAAAGAAGAAGAAGGGGGAAAAAAAAGAGGAGGAACGCAGTCGAAAAAAAACAAAAAAAACCCAGCACCAAGAGACATAAAAAAAAAAAAAGAAAATCCGCTCAGGTTTTGGTTTGGTCACAATCTGATAGTAAATGTTTGCCCTAGCAGAACTCAGCAGGGGGGCAGCTCATGACTCAGGACGGTTTGGCCAGGCTGTCCCGTTTCTGCCACAGCGGACAAAAAAAACAAAAAAAAAAACAGGTCAAGCTCTCTAAAAAAAACTCACAGAGACTCAGACATGGACACAGATGGTGTGGTCATGTTCGAGAGCCAGAATGTGCTCAAAGATGAATCATAGTATCATCTACAGAGAGATGACTTCCAGAAACAGCATTTAAAATCTTCTTCTTTTACAGATTATGATCTCAATGTGTGTTAATACTGGTTTTGTTGCATTATGGAGACTTGGATTACTCCCTTTAAATCATGCAGACGTGTACTGAGGCAGAATCTCAACCCCCCACACTCCCTTAAAGGCCTTTATGGAAAAACAACACGTTTTCCATATTTGGTTATTATAATGTCCTTAGACAAACTATGGGGGGTAAGTGCTGCAACAATGAATCTCTGTTATGGAAAAGAACGTCTCGTTTCTCTTAAAACATGTTTCCTCTTCCCCTCTCTTGTTCGCTTTGTGTCCTCATGTCTCTCTATGAATGTCTAGTGGGATGGACAAAAACACAGACAAGGAAAGGACGGTAAGGGGGATGCATGGATACAATTTAAGAGAGAGTGTGTGTGTGTTTGTGTGTGTGAAGCTGAGCAACCGAAAGAGCACGATCTGATGTGATAACGAACACTAACAAGCTACCAATAGCCTGAATAAGATAAGAAAGATGTTTAATATGTTGAATCTGTAGCTTTTCTGTGTATTAGAAATAACTCTGTTACATTCACAGTACTGTCATCAGTATCATGTAAGGATACTTAACCCAGCTGCAGTTATGTGTTCCCTCTAAGTGTTT